AGCATGATAAATCATAAAGAGCTGCAGCCATAATTGCATCTACATATACATTTACATAGCCAGAAAATGATTCCTGCTCTAAAAAATTTGTGCAATTTAAAAACTCATCAGTTTTGTCTGTGCCATAATACAATTACAACTTGTCACTCTATCTGTCAGTCAGGTGCCCGCTAGACGTGGGACAGCATGCAAGGCTCCTGCCAACCAGCCATTTCTTTAGAATCATACAACATTGATGCCACCTCCGGAAAATGTCAGGGTCCTCTTGTTGTAGAATGAAGAGCCACTGGGATTTGGTTGGTTGCCTTTAACCAGAGAGGTTTTCAGTTCCATTTCACAAGCTACAATAGCTGCGTTCAATTCCACTTGAGCTCGATGAACTACATAAAACATGAGGCCTATACTTATAATAATCTGTGAACAAAAATAAAACATTGATGGTTAACAATATTTTGAACAGAAAAAAGGTAGAAATAAATCTAAGCATTTGATTTAGAAGTGTTTTAAACAGGATGCTTCTCAAATACTGTCAGGTAACTAGCTTGCACAGGTGTTGTTGTGTGTTGCTCAGTGGGAATCAACTCACAGCTGAGCTTCCAGTGAATATTCAGAGGCAATAACCCACACAGGAGGAGACTGCCTATCCTGTTACGGAGCAGCTGGTGGACTTGAATTGTATGCCTTTGGGATTGCAGCACAGCTTCTTACAATTAGGCCACTAGAGCTTCCTTGGTTCTTCAGCAGATGGCTGGCAAGATTCCACAGGTGACCATTACATGGTAATTTAAACAAGGTGTTAATACAAGGTGTCTCCTTTTAACAAAAAGCTTCTTTCAAGGAATAATAAAGGTCTAGAGTGAAGAGCTGGCTAAACTTTATTAGTATAATTAATGTAGCAGTGTATCTGTGCATAGGAATTGTCTGTAGGCATTTCTAAGTATGAAAAATACTACCACTTGTAAATTAAATACCTGGTAAAGCCAACACGTTGCCACACACTTTTTAAACTGATGACCGTGCTTAGAAACACATTTGTAGTCATTTGCGGCAACGTGTTAAAGATAATAACCACCTAAACGAAAGGGAGCTCTGATGGTCTAGTGGTTAGGAAGTTGCGCTCCTAACCGAAAGACGGAAGATTTAAACCTACCAGTTGCTCAAAAAAGGAAGATGGGCAATTCACTCTCCTGAGATTTCCCTTGAAAACCCACTGAATCAGGGTCAGTTATGAGTCGGTTCCAATTCAGCAATGTGGAGTTTTAAAGAAATACAAAGGAGCTTTCATAATGTAAAGAGTAAAGCACCTGTTAACCTCAAGGTTAGCAGTCTGAATCTACCAGCTGCTCTGCACGGGAAAGATGTGGCAATCTGGTCTAAAATCGTAAAGCTTTTGCAAACCTTACAGTTCCACTCTGTCCTGTAGAGTCATTCACTGAGTGTAAGAATCAACTCTCAGATTGGGTGAGTATGTGGAGAAAAAGTAACACTGTCAATAAGCTTTAGAAAAAAGTGACTGTGAACATAAAATTATACTTAGAGAAAACAAAACTAATGAAGCCACAATCCTAATAAAGCATCAAACTGGAATTGAGGTTCTAGTTCCGGGTTAGGCATTCACTACCACCGTGATTTTAGGAGAGTCCATTAAACCAACTGACTTCAGTTTCTGACTGCCCAGGAGGAAGTTGTGGTCCTTTTGCGCTTTTAATATCCTATATATAACTTCCTCAAATTATTTAAGCAGTTGATCTAAATGAGTTTCCTCAAAGCCCATTTGTGAATAGTTCTTTTGAGTTTTAAGCAAATATTTTCTGGGAATTAAGATTACATCAAGTACTAATAAGTTTAGGATAAAATTCTGAGGAACACAATTTTAGGGCAGAGGGGCGGTGATAGTCAATGAGACAGAAGGTGGCAGTGGCTAAGGTGGCTTAGAAGGGGTTCAAGATAGTACTGTTAGAAAAGATACGGCAAGAACATGTTTCAATAACAAAATCATGATTGACAGTGTCTTGATTGTTTAGAAGTCAAGACAGATAAAGCCTGGAAAGTGTATCTGACTGAGACAAGGTTAGTGAGGACCTTAGAATGTCTGGAGGACAGAATGTGATACTGAGGAAAGCTTTCAACCTCCGTGAAAAACTATTTTCACTATTTTATACAGATCTTTACATTGATCTGACCCAGGACATCCTTCAGGCCAAGGGCCTGGCAATCTGTAACGGCTTTGCTAAGGAGCCTTGATGTGCTGTGTATACAGACTGTTGTGATTCTAATGAAATGACTGTGCACCTGTCGGCCCCAATCCACCACGGGGCCTTGGGAGAAAGATCTCTCCTGTTAAGATTTAAAGCTTTGGAAACCTAATGAGGTTACTATGACTTTGGACTGATTCAATGACACTGAGGTTTTTACACCTCTGTGCTAACAAAAAACTTTGTGGTTCAAGCCCACCTGCGGAAAAAAGATACGGTGGTTGCCTTCACAAAAGCATAAAGCCTAGAAGCCCCATGCGGTAGGTCTACTCAGCCCTACGGTGTCACTATGAGTTGGCACTGACTCGATGGCAATGGACTTGGCTTTTTATTGTCATGCTACGTTCCTCAGCAAAGTGAAGAAACCAGAAAAGGGGTGGGGCATGCAAAAGCTGCCCCATGGTAGAGCACAGGCACAAACTGTATGCAGGGCAGTGGAACTGTTCTGTATGATACTGTAATGGTGGACACATGACACCATGTGTTTGTCAAAACCTGTCAAAGGCCTGTAAAACACAAACAGGGTGAATCCTCATGCAAACTGCGTTAGAGTCAACAGCTATATATCAATACAGGTTCCTCAACTGAAGCAAATGTAGCATAAATGCAAGGTGTTCCACCATACTTTCTGCACAAATTCTGTATGAACTTCAAACCGCTCTTTTTGAAGGAAAAAGAAGTCTATTTTAAACAGAAGGAAGAGTGAGAAGAGAAAGAGATTTTAAGTTTCCCTGTCAGAAGGGGAAAAGGAGTGAAAATTTACAAAGAGCTAAGTTGGATAAAGGAAAAGGCAATAACCAATAGGGGTTGATTAGGTATTTTAATTAAGTATATCAATCAATAATAATTAAAATTATAAAATGACTATGAGTGATTGTATGAAAAATCAAAGACTTGTAAAGTTTCACTGAAATAAAAAAGTTTCCCTGTTAAAATGTGAAGAAAGAATTGAACCCTGGTAGAAGAACATGCCGAAGACAGACATCTCCAAGAGCACACAAGTGAAAGACAGTAGTTTTTTGGACCAAAACGCAGGGGTTTCCCATTTAACCACTTTGAATTTTTCTGCTAAGCAAAGAAAAAAACAGAATGAAGATGGAAGAAGAGTTTGAATTCTTAAAATAATGAAGAGAGTTTAAAAACGCAACATAAAAAATGGACTTGGGAGCAAAACCAGCTGGCAGTTTATAAGCATCAGTGAAATGTTACTAAATTGATTGGGTTGTCATTACAGCCTTACATGAACAGGCAGAACACAAAATTTTGATTCACTCAAGACTCAGAGTTTGGCTGGTGGTTACAAAGAAAAACAGAGTCCACAGAAAAGAGCAAGTGAACTGACAAATCTCAGAATTTAAGGTGGATACCAACACAATCAATTGCTGCACTTCCTGTGAACATCTATTCTGTACAGCTTTAATTTTATGGGCATTTTTAAGTTCTCCTGCAAACATGAGGAACTTCAATGAACATGTACTTGAAACCTCTTCCTTTCGCCGACACAGATTTTTCCTTTCAAGAAGACTTTTCTCCCCACCCACCCACCCCATCCCTCTCTCCCTGAGCCATATCTATTCTCTAAACTGCATGAAATCTTTCTGGAAACAAACAACAACGTCTGTAGTGCCATCTAGTCAATGCCTACTGACATGAAACCTGGGCATAAATATCCCATCTCTGCTTTTCATAAATAACTAGGCTACCTTTTTGTCTCAGATCCTAAAGTTAAATTTACCAGCAGGTAAGAAATCATGGGAAACAAAGATTCTGTATTTTAAGAAACACTGCTGACAAGTCACGTGCTATTGCAATCTATTATAACTATTAATTATAGCTGAATAATTTACTAAACTGCACAATACTATTCAATTGATTTAATATATTTATGGCCTCTGAAGACTTGCTGGAAGGTTGGTTCCAACCTAATGGTACACAAAAACAACACAGAAAATTTCAAATGGTAAAAATCCTCTGAAAGCTACTAATAATGAAGCACAATAATTATTCAAGCAAGAAGTCAAAACAGAAAGGTGGTTTCAAACAGATGAACTATTTTGAAGCAATCAGAAAAATCAAAATATGCTTAAGTTTAAAAGGCAAAAAAAAATCTGAGAATGTAAAGATTTATGTCAGAATCTAATAGTACCTCAGGATGATTAGAAACAAATTATTTAGATTTAATTACTAAAAAGCTAAACATTAAGTCATCAGTCTGGTGCACTAGTATAAAGAAAAAACTGAAACAGTAACTGTAAACCTAGATTCAAATTGCCTAAAGAAAATATGCTTTGGGAAAAAGCAGAACATTGAAAATAAAAATTAACTCCCCAAGTATAAAAAGATTACAGGCCTTCTATTGACAAATTTTAAGTAATACAACAATGAAAATATTCCTGGATTTTATTATTAAATGTAAAGCGCATAAGCACATAGAATTCTAATTCTCTAAAAAAAAGTAGTTCTATTTTAGCACTGTTTCACTGAAGCATAGTACCTTGAATGATGTTGTTGTTAAGTGCCGTCGAGTCATAGGCGACTCATAGTGACTCTATGAGCCAAAAGTCCTCAACACTTGTGTGACTTTCATCCTTTCTCCAGACTTGAATGATACCAACAATTAAATTTCTAATCACAGTACCATATAGTTAATAACAAAAATTAGTGAGGCCAGCAGGTAAATTCCACATGGCTATGCTGTTAGGGACCCCTCCAAAGTACTGAAGAGCAATGGTGTCTCTCTGGAGACTAAGGTGTGTCCGATACAGGCCATGGTCTTCACAATCACTTGTTATGCACCAGAGAGTTGGACAATGACCAAGGAGGATAGGAGAATTGATGCCTTTGAGCTGTGGTGCTGGAGAAGAGTATTGAGAGTACCATGGACTGCTAGGAAAACAAACAGATTCATCCTGGAAAGGGTTAAACCGGGTGGCTCCTTGGAGGCAAGGATTCTGAGGCTCCGTCTAACATACTTTGGACATGTTGTGAGGAGAGACCGGTCCTTGGAGAAGGACATCATGCTTGGGATGGTGGAGGGACAGCGAAGGAGGGGAAGGCCCTCTATGAGGTGGATTGATTCAGTGACTGGGGTAATCGCCATGGGAGTGTCAGAGACAGTGCGACTGGCACAGGATGGAGCAGAGTTTAGGGCTGTTGTACATAGGGTCGCTATGAGTCGCAAGCGACTCGACGGCACATAACAACAACATGTCATTAAGGAGCTCTGGTGGCATAATGGTAAGAAGCTGCACTGTCAACCTAAAGCCACACAGTTCAAATTCACCAGCTGCTCCGTGGGAGAAAGATGGGCAACCAACTCAAATGTAATATATCGCCTCTGAAAACTCCCTGGAGGGTTTGTCAGCTGTGGGTCAGTTCCAACTTGACAATACTCAACAACCACTTCATTAGAATTGCATACCCAGCAGATTATAATATATTGGAAATTAATGTGGTCTCTAGAGTCAACTGCATCCGTTCAGATCCTCACTGGATATATGATTAGCCAACGATGTTCTGATAAACCATGTTCTAAGTGGTAAAAGTGGACTTTGTAGCATTTGCCCATTTTGATGGCGTAAATATTCCTGAAAAGGCCAATTTCAAGCTACCAGTGTGATGTCACTGATAACAGAATTGAGAAGACGTGTATGCACATCATCAGCTCTCTTTTAAGGTTGTGGTAAGGACTGAATGAGCTCACCTATGTAGAATAAAGGTAACCGTTATCATCATCATTGTTATCATCTTTCTAACTTTACCTGATAGTTGTAACAGAAAGTTATGTGACTTTGGGTGAATCTCTGGAGTAAAATGTTGTCACTGATAGACAAATATATTTTTATTTAACTTTTCCTATGCAATTTAACGGCAATGACTGAAATTTCTCATGGAGCAGAAGTGCCCACTTTCATCAATCAGTTACAGGGAACTGTCTACAACACAAACTATGGTAAAATCACAGTCACCAAAATATTTTACACAATCTTATTTTGATATGTAATAGGATGCTTTGGACATTTTTCATAAAGCAGTATGTCAAAAAACAAGCTTTTGTATTACACCAAATTAAACTGATGATATTCTACAAATACTCTCAAAACCTGAATGCTGATATTCTTTAATTCTGAATGTTGGTATTAAGAACTAACATTCTTCAATAATTACTTAATTCCATAAATAATTGGTTTTATTAAAGAATATGTATTAGGTTAATAAGAATTTATTATTATTCATTATTAAAAGAATATATTATCTAATATTAAACAAAAATATTCTCTAATAAAAATACTTGTTAAAAAAAAACCAAAAAACTAATAAAAGTTTTAGTAATCTGAAGACAAATTTCCCTGCTAAGATAAAAACTCAGAAATATTAAATCTCAGTTACATTAACTATATACAACTCTACCCATAAAGTTACTTGATTTAGTGATTATTTTGAAATGGTCACTGGAAAAAGGATCCTACTTCTGTCAATCCCTTTTCTAGATATCTTTGTTTTTACTTAAGGGAATTTTAGGAATTCATATTCCTAACATATTCGTACCTCTTCCCACACCACAGTATGTTAGAGTTATATCAGTAAAACCAACAAAAATTACAACCCTTGACCTTAAACTCACCTGTAAACAAAAAACAAAATATCCACTAACACTCTGTTCTGCAATGACATCTTCCATTGTCCGCAGGGTGGTACCCAAGTAAGAATTCAGAAGCTGGGTAGGAAGCAATCCAACTGAAGATGCCATCAGATAATTGGGTAATGAGAGATCAGTAATCTAGAAGAGTAGATTAAAGGGAATGATTCATTAAAAAGTTCAAAGTTCATGTATAGTGGTCTACAGGTCTTGCCAATTATTTTCCTTTGGGAGTACAAGGAGCTAAAATACTACTTAACAAAAAATTCTGATTTTTAAAAATTATTATACAGAAAATTATGCAGAATATACAAAATTTTGAATTAAAAGTTAAAGAAAAACTTGAATCCTCTAAAATTCTTCCATTTTCTTTGAAAATTTGCCATTTTCAAAGGCAACCTTTGACTTTTCTTTTCGTTCCAAGTGAAGAAAACATTAACAGAAAGAACAGATGGATCACATTATAAAAATAGTTTTTAAGTTGTTCTCCTTCTCCTGACATTAAGTATTCTTCATAAGAACACTTAAACCACAATGCAGTCATTGGGTTCTGAAGCCAGATAATTATGGATGACATTCCAGTGCTGAGAATTCAATGCTTCTGTGAAAATCCCTCTCAATCTCCGAGCAGCACGTGTTTTTCATTTGTAAAATGAAAATATGACCAACATTTGTAAGACTATTGTTGGCTTCAGAAAGATGTACAAATTAATTAGCAAATGACTAGCCCATGACAGAGACTCCAAAAAATGATTAAGAAGAATCATTACTTGCATAAATATGCCACAGAGTAAACCCAAAACAATTTAAACAGACCTAAATCAATTATGGCAATTTCTTCTTCTATACATTGGGTGTGTGTGTGTGTGTGTATTTTATGATTAAAAAGCAACGAAATCCTTAATTTGTTGTGGTAGTGGTACTCCTACCTGACTCTCCAGTGGGTTTTCAGAGGCAGTAGACTGCACATGAGGAACATCAAAACTATCCCCAAAGACCCTTCTCCCTGGTATTCACGATCTTATATAATCCTCCTTTATATCTGAGTGGGAGCTGGACCTAATGCTTACTTCAATAAACATTAATGAACAAAATGCTGAGTTCACGGCTGCCCTTGATGGTGGGATCCTTGTTGGTGCCTGGGCCACAGAAATCATGAATTTACTTAACAACATACATGACCACTGGGTTCATTTGCTCATTGCTGTAGATTTTTTGTTGCATGTTATCTAGACAGAAGGAATGACGAGAAACTAACCGACTTCTGGAACAAGAGTATGTTTAAAAAAGAACTGAGAGCCAATGAAGAAGTTAACTGGAAGTAAAGGCTGTGGCTGAATTATAAATCTGCACATTTTCAAAACAAATGTGAGATATCATCTCACCCCAGCAAGATTAGCAAAATCAAATGCTCACAAGTTTGTGGAGGAACTGGAGCCCTTCCTTATTCACTCACTATTGGCGTGAGTGTAAAATGGTGTGACCCCTATAGAAGGCAGTAGGGGGCTTTCTTAAAAAGCTGGAAATAGAAATACCATTTGACCCAGCAATTCCACTACTGGGAATATACTCTAAAGAAACCAGAACTGCCACTCAAACAGATATATGCACACCCATGTTTATTATTGCTTTGTTCACAATAGCAAAGAGTTGGAAACAACCCAAGTGAACATCAACAAACAAATGGATAGAGAAGCTGTGGTATATTCACAAAATGGAATACTATGCTGCATTGAAAAACAAAAAACTCATGAGATATTATACAAAATGGGTGACCCTGGAGTACATTATGCTGAGTCTCAGTCACAAAAGGACTTCTCAGTCACAAAAGGACAAATACTGCATAGTACCACTGCTGTAAGATGGGACTGACATCAAGGTTGGGGGAAACCCAAGAAAAGAGGGGATAAATAATACTGTATTGAAACAGATGAGGGAGAGAACTGTTTAAAAAGAATATAGGGTTAGGAATTTTTTTCATGACAAGATTACACAAAAGAAATAAATAGTAAAGTGGAATGTGGACTTGGGGGGATTATATAACAATGAAAGAATTTTTTTCTTTTCAAAAAGAAAAATAAACTGGGGGGTAGGCAGGGAGGAAAATGTGGAACAGTGAATGAATGGGGAAGAAATTAAATGGAAAGAATATGTTGTAAAAAATATGTTGCATTAAAAATCATTAATAAAAAAACAAAACAGAATGCAGAACTGATAGAATGCCACTTCCAAAATTGTTGCTGTCAATGTACATGTTGCTGGAATCGAACCAACTCATAGCTGACCCTCCAGTGGGTTTTCAGAGGCAGTGAGTCACAAGGGAGGAGACTGCCCATCTTTCTCCCAAGAAGCAGCTGGTAGATTCAAACTGTGTGCTTTTGGGTTGGCAGTGCAACTCCTTAACACTAAACTACCAGAGCTCCATATACATACCACACACATACACAAGACTATTGTTAGTCTTTATGCACATCAAGACTGAGGCTTTGTGGAGTTTGTCTGTCATCATGACTTCCTAATGTAGATGACACTGTGCAAGTGAGGTGTGTTGGTCTATCTGCAAAGGGATTGGCTGGTTTTAACAATCTACAAGTGAATTGGCTAGTCTCACCAATTAACTGAACAGCTCTAGCTGCAGAGAACTGGAATTCTTTGCCTTACCAAAAGGGTAGAGAGACCTCCTTTGACCTGTGAAATGTAGGTTCCGCTTTGGGATAGCAGCAGCAGCAGCAATGAATGGATGTGAGATGGGACTTGGGGAGGGGGAACCAATTTTGGCAGGAGGACTGAGAACTTGGGAGCACTTAGAGCCATGAGGCTGAGGTGCTTGCCATGTACATTTTGGGTGATGTCCTGACTGTATTTTGTTATTAATCTGAATTACCACCTTTCACTCCCCCACTATGATTCTGTGTGGTCTGTGAGCGATCACATTGGATTTTAGACCCATTTGAGCAGTAATATTGGTGTTAAGTATAAAGAGGCATGAGAGTGTGGGGGACATGTCTGACCTCATGGAAATTGGGTTTGTGTTATTGATGCTGTGGGGCTTGGAGAGTTTCCTCCTGTGAAGCTGGAAAAGGTCAGCTATGGTGCTCTCAATGTGGCCCTTGCTATTTTGCAGACCTCCATTTCCCTTTCAAGCAGGCATCCTGCCACGTTTGGAGTAACTGTATGGAGAGGCTCATGTGGCAAGGAACTCAATTTTTTAACCAACAGTCACATGAATGACTTTGGAAATGTATTCTCTCCAACTCAAGGCTTACGACATAGAAGTGGGAATCAAGGGACAAATTCCGGATGAAAGAAACATTTAAAATGGGCACTGAAAGCAAAACACAGGCTTAGCTGGCAAGCTCTGAGGACTGAGGAAGGAATATAACAAGGATAATACAGCATAGAAAGCACGAAGTCGTTTATGAAGTTGACAGTAGACTTTGTATTGTTTATAGGGCATATACAAGGGGGGTCTGGCGAACAGACAGGAAAAGTAATCAGGATGCAAGTTTAAGCCCACAGTCTTTGTATCAAAAACTCAAACTCGGCGAGCTCTGGTGGTCTAGTGGCAAGCTGCACTGCAACCTCAGAGGTGCACGGTTCGAAACCACCAGATGGTCTGTTGGAGAAGATGGGACAATCTCCTCCTGCACCAGTCAGATCGGATTTTGACAGTACACACAAAAAAATTTAAATACATACATACATACATACATACATACATAACAAAACTCATTACCATTGGTTAGGAAATTAAGAGCGAAGCCTCCAGCAGTTTTCAGAGGTTGAAACTGCACAGGAGAGGCTCACCCATCTTTCTTCCAAGGAGTAACTGGTAGACTTGAACCACCTTTGGGTTGGCAGCACAACTCCCTACCCACTAGGTCACTAGCACTCCCTTCTTCAGATATTCTTTCTTTAAATGGTCTTTAAAAAAATGCCTTCTAAACGTAGCACATAATTGGCCTTCATGCATGACAAATTAATACCAAAGGGCTATTTTTTTTAATTAATTTTAATGAAAGTTTACAGAAACTTTGGATTTCCATTCATTGTTGCATTTTTCCCTGCCCAGCCCTCCTCCCCAATTCACTCTTGTCTTTGAAAAATAAAAGAAAAATTCTTAAATTGTTATACAATCCCTCCCTCAAGTCCTCTACTATGCAGCCTTCATTCTGAACTCCTGTCATGACAATAATACCTAATTATATATCCCTTTTAAAGAGTTCTCTCCCTCACCTGTTTCAATGGCTATTTTTAAGAATGCACTTCAAAAATACAAAATGGCCCTGCCACTCAAATTTTTGATCAAATCTTTTATGGCCAAATCTCATCCTACAGAAATTATTATTTATCAGTTTTGTCAGGAAAACCATTTATCTTTAAAGAACAAATAACTATTTTTAGTTAATCACTAAGTTTTGCTAAAGTGCTAAGTATTTTAACCAATGGAGCAAAACAAAGTTTTATAAAATTATTAACAAATTTTAAAAATTAATAAATAATCGGTTCTAAATATTCTGAAGTGGTACATCTTATAAACCAAGTTCTAACTTAGTCCTTTATCTTCTGGTAAATTTTTCTTCTGCCTGGGATACAGTAAAAGTTTCCTAACTAGGTTCCTTCCACACCGTCTTGTCACTCAGACATGCCCTTTATTCACCAACAATGCTAAATCCTACAGAATAGCTTTACAATTGCACATCTAATCCTCCTTACACTCTTGCTTACTGCCACAAGAGTCAAGCTGAGTTCTTCAGCATGTGAAGTGCATCGTGTAACTGTCTCATCTGTTCTAGGCACATTACATTCTCTCAATTCCTAGGGCATGCCTCACTCTCTTCCTTCTGGGTCTCTGTGAGGACACTCCTTTCCTCCCATTCAGCTCACAGACATCAATTCCTCTAGGAAATCTTCCCTGATCCCTCAAGTCTGCCTAAGAACACTAAGCACCCCACTCCCAATTTCAATTTGGACAGTGCCTGCTGGTGTCATCACCTGCATGCCCTTTATTACTTTCACTCTAAATTTTGTGAAGGAAAGAGCAGCGTCCATCCTCTTCTTTGCAGTGTCTCTGGTCCCTACCACTATGCCTATTACATACATGTTGTGTGTTGTGTACCATCAACTTAAACCTGACCCTC